GTTTGGAGAGAAAAACAAAGTGAACAAAAAAAGAAAAGAAAACGATTATTCGATTATTAAATTAGTCATCGATTATTTTAATAATCGATTAATCGTCGATTAATCAATTAATCGTTGCAGCCCTAGTTTTCGGAAATTTGTACGAAATCACTTTCATWTGGTAGATTTGATTCACAGTTCAGATTCTAAAACAGAAAAGAACTATATATTTTTTTGAGAAGTTCATTTGTGGCTTTTAAAAGTATTAAAGGCGTCAGCATTGTCAAACAATGTTCCTTCTATTAAAAGATGTCTTAAAAACAACTTTCAGTGGCGAAACCTTCAAATAAGGCCCTAACTTCATCAAAGTTGAATTGAAACAAATTACTGTGTGGTTTAGAGCAAATTTTCTTCTTTTGCTGCCATCTTTCCACTGCAGTTAAACAGGAAATGTGTGTCTAGAGGAACATAAAGACTTAATTGTACAATAAACATTATGTTACACAGGGAGATTTTCACTCTGTATGCAACTGTAAACAACGTTGATTTTTGTTGCCTTCATTAAAAGGTTAAACAAAGTATAAAATGTTTACAGCACACACAACCTGCTTGGGTTTTTAAGATGACCACTCTTTATTTTATTTTTTTTTTTTTCTTTGAAATAATTTGAAAACAGGCAGACATTTTTGATGGTTCAAGACTCTCGCTTTAATTTTTCAGTACAACTACAAGAAAAACTGAAACAAGAAAAAAAAATCTAAAAAACACAAAATGAGATTTTCAGTGCAAAAAAACCCTCCTACATTTCTGACTGAACAAACGCAGCACAGCAAATCAGCTGAGAGACAACAACGCTGTCTCTCAGGGAATAAGAGTGGCGAATTTCTCTCATGAACACACACATGTTGGTTTTTCTATMCTTGTGGGGACTTTGCATTGACTTTCATTCATTTTCCAGTCATTTCTATTGCCCAACCTTAACCAGCCTAGTCTAAACCTAATCACTCCAATTCCTACCTGACCCTAAAACTAACCTTTACTTAGTTCACACCTTGGTCCTAAACCTAACACCCCGCCCCACCCAAAATCTGCATTCATACCYGAGGGGATCAGGCTTTGGTCCCCATAAGGAGCACTGGGACCTCACAAGGCTGCATTTGTCTGGAAAATGGTTCCCATGATTAAGCAAATACATGTTGACATATGTACACACACACACACACATAAGTGTGAACTGTGAGGACACTTTTTTTCAAAGACGTTCTGTTGGTTAATTTTGGGGACACGATTTTCTGCTCCCTCTACAGAAGTTCACCTGTCAGTTTTTAATGCTGATCATTTTTGTGCATGATTTAATTATAACAACAATAAGATTTCTTATTAATTTGCTCCTCAAGTAGCAGAAGATCAGTAGCAGAGGCAGTACTGCAGAGCATGTCGGAAAGCTGATACGACAAATATTAMTAATGACTTTATAAAGTGGATGATTCAAACAAAGCTTTAAAAAGGAAATTCAGAGGCTTGTTTATGTCAATTAGTGTTATTAAATCAGTGGAATTACCTACTAGAAGCAAAGCATACAGTTATCATCCCTCTGTGGTAGTACTACGGTCTCAGCGTTCCTGCAGCTGCTGATTTGTCATCC